TGTTCTTCCCTAACTAGGACCCCACTGACGGCTACTTCCGATACGGCAAGTATAGGTATAGAGGCTCTCCGATTTTTTGGAGTATGCAACAAGGTGGATTAGAAAGGTACCTTTTAGTTCCTTCTAGGGCGTGCTGCATTCTGGCCCCCACGTGAAATCATTCTTCTTCTTTAGAAGGATTGAAAAATCGATGGCTCCTTCTCGAGGATCGGGATATGAACGGCTAGAGCAGCTATGCGCCCGGTGAGCCGTTTGGACGGGCCTTTACGTTATCGACAATCTTTATGTCCTCGATTGCCTTAATCTTATCCGGATTGATCTCGGATTTCCCCTGTTGGACACCATAAATCCTAGGAACTTTCCGGAATCCGACCCGAACGCGCATATTTGCATCGGGTTTCAGCTTTCATTGTTTATTGCTTTAATATAGCAAAAGTTTCCTGCAAATGGCTAAGATGTTCCTCTGCGCGCAGGGATTTAACTAACATATCATCAATATAAACTTCCATGGTTTTGCCTAATTGATTCTCGAACATCTTGTTAACTAGGCGTTGGTAGGTGGCTCCGGCGTTCTTTAACCCGAAGGCATCACGTTATAAGCAATAAGTGCCATTACTTAGTGATGAGGACGTTTTTTCCTGATCGTCCTTATCCATCGGATCTGATTATATCCGGGAATAGGCGTCGAGAAAACTTAGCGTCTCGTGGCCGGCCGTGTGCATCGATCATTCGATCGATGTTAGGCAAAGGAAAGGAATCCTTGGGGCAAGCTTTATTTAGATCTTTATAATCTATACACATTCTTTAATTTATTACCCTTTTTGCGGTACTACAATCTACGTTGGCCTAACCATTCGGGGTATTTTAACTTTCCCGGATGGACCTATGTTTAATAGCTTAGTTACCTCTCGTGGATGAAAGCCTGCTTGACCTCGGATTGGGGCCTTCTCTTTTGTTTCACTGGCCGGTAATTTTGGGTCTGTGCTCAACTTGTGAGTCGTGACCTCCGGGTATGCCTGTCATATCCAAATGGCGACCAAGCAATATACATCTTCGTTAGCCAGTAAGAAAGAAAGCAAATTTTTCCTGAGCTCGGTAGTTAAACCCGAAGCCCAGTTTATACCTTTCGGTCTGGCGCACTCGAACGAATAGGGATCTGTTCCAGCTCTTCGACCGTCGATTTGTGCATCGGACTCATCCGGAGTCACGAAAGATCGGGGAAGAGAAGAAGTCTTCTCCGAAGGTAGATTCTGGTTCAGCCTCTTTTACCGGAGGCTTACACTTTGACTGCTATTTTGCCTGGACACCTCATCTACTGCGAACAATCTCCTTCTTGCGGCGCATTGCTCCCCGTACACAGTGATGACCCCCTCGGCAGATTGGGAATTTCAGGCATTTTGGTGCAGCGTGGACGGTACGCGCCCGATGTCGTGTATCCAAGGTCTTCCGAGCAGGGCGTTGTACCTCATATCGCCCTCGATAACACAGAACTTGGTCGCTTTTGTAACTCCGCCCACGTCGATCATCAGAGTTATTTCCCCTCGTGTTGTTTCCGTAGCCATATTAAATCCATTCAATACTCTTACCTCAGAAATTATCTTGCCCGTCAGTCCCAACTGTCGACCGACCCACGACCGAATTATGTTAGCTGAGCTTCCAGAGATCGACCAAGACACGCTTGACTTTAGTGTCTCGACCATCGTGGATATTACCAAAGCGTGTATGGGGTTGCTGCTGGTCCATCGATTTCCCCGTTGCTAAAACATAGTGTTCCCTCTGGTGCGTTAATCCCTGATCTCGCTTCTCCCTTGTGATCGATATTTGTATGTTTCAGTATTGGTACTTGAGGTTGCGTCTTCTTCTCCAATTATCATGTTTATGGTGTTGCGGGGTTCCTTTCCTATCGGCTGGGTCGATCTCGATTTTCGTAATGATTTTTGGCCCGATCATTGAGAATTTTCGAAGGTAACCTTCATCGAGCAACGGGCAACTCCTCCGCAGTGCCTGCAATCTTCGGTTCTGTGGCCATTGTGTTTGTGGTACTTACATATTAACTTGGGATCCTCCTCGATGGATCGGACTGTACGGGTTTGGGCCATCGGGCTTTTGATACGTTCCGATCGCCGACACCAAGGTAGCCGAATCGACACTGAATTATATTCAGCAATCGGGGTGCTCCTGTCTATCGACGGCTTTCCCGAGGTTGGCCTTTCGCGATACGTGTCTTCTGTTCCTCTCATAGCCGCGGTCGTTCCTCGTAAATTTAGGCCTCCTATCATCCTGATTAACGGCCGATATATTTCCTTGTTTGGTCTCGAATCTTTGTAGTTTTTCCTACGAGGCGATCGAAAATTCCTATGTGTGTGATGGTGAATCCGAACTTGCTCCGCTGTGGTCGTCCTCTACCCTTATCTTCGTTGGTACGGTTATGGATGTCTGCGCCACGTAACTGCTGAAACTCGATCAGACTTTGCTTTAATTGCCTGGATGCGGCTGAGCTGTTGGCGTTCAATCCTTGAGTGAAGGCTTGTACTGCCCAGTCATCCGTGACTGGGGGAAGATCCATCCTTTCCATTTGAAATCGAGACACAAATTCCCGGAGTGTCTCGTTTATGCGCTGTCGGACCTTGAATAGGTCGGATTTCCTTGTTTCTACCCTGATCGCCCCGGCGTGAGCTTTCACGAAGGCATCGGCTAACATGGCGAACGAATCGATGGAATTTGGCGGTAAGTTATGATACCACGTCATTGCCCCCTTGGACAAGGTTTCTCCAAACTTTTTCAACAAAACTGACTCGATTTCATCATCTTCGAGGTCGTTTCCCTTAATCGCGCATGTGTATGCTGTCACATGCTCGTTTGGGTCCGAGGTCCCATTATACTTCGGGATATCGGGCATTCTAAATTTCTTAGGGATAGGTTTTGGGGCGGCACTGGATGGGAACGGTTTTTGTACAAACTTTTTAGCGTCAAGGCCTTTCAGGACCGGAGGTGCACCTGGTATTTGGTCGACCCTGGAGTTGTATGTTTCTACTTTTTTATCGTTGGCCTCGATCTTTTCCTCCCCCTTTTCGATTCGTTCGGTCAATTCTTCTAGCCTCCTAAGAACCGCAGAATCAGCATCCGGCCCACCCCGTTCCGGCTGTACTGGGGTCGGATTGATGATTGCAGCTGCACGGGGAGCCTCCTCGGACCTGACAGGCTCCTGGACCCGGCTCTGGAGCTGAGCTATAGCCGATTGCTGGGCTTGCAGCATGTCAAAAATCATTTTAAGGTTGATAGTCTCTTCGCCGACTGCCTGGGCCCTCGAATCGTCCTCTCCCCGGACGCTATGTGATGATCCGGAGGCCTGATCAGTGTTGAGCGCCATCCGGGAATCGGCATCTATCGGGTTTTCGAGCCCGGGCATTCCATTGTTTCCTGTCTGCTGTTCAAGTTCGTTGTTGATTGATTGTGCCATTCTATGAGTTGGTAATTTGAATGTAAGATGGACTCTTTTGCAAAGAACCAGTGTACTGTGATGCGTCAAGAAAGAGTATCAAAGAGCTCACTAATATCCTTAGCCCCACGGTGGGCGCCAAACTGTTTACCCTGGAATCCGGATAACAATTGAATTTATATGGGGTTTTAAGGATCCGTGAACTAAAAGATACAAAAGGTTTGGATTGAGGAAAATAAAAGATAAAGACTCAACAATTGCTGTTAAAGTAAATAATCGCAGAATATAATATTGCTTAGAACAATTGTGCTTGATAGCGTACAAGAATTGAGAGAGATGGTACTGTAGTATAATGGTTTCCGATCCCCTCTTTATGGGGTCTTCTCCCCTTTTATACATTCTGATTAAGGGTAAAAATAAGGTAGGTAAATTAATTACATCGTGGATCCCTGTAATTACGCCTTAATGGCCTGAAGTGGTTGAGAAAATCACGTTTGGGCGAGATATCCGGCGACGCTTGGTTATCCGTTACGAGTCCGGCTTCCGACCTTGTGTGTTTCTCCATCCGGTGGTGACTCATATCGAGCTCTGCAACGGTCTCGAAATGACTCGACCTCGGTTGTTGACGTGGCCGTCGTTCTACCTTGCATCCAGGTCGGGTTCGATGGCCCCGACTTGCCCCGGACCGGACCCAACCCGGTCGGGCTCAAGCAAAAAGGGTATCACCCAATACAAATAGTCTAGTTACTGGTTGTATGGATATGATTCTTTTACTCTTAATGAGAGTTCTCGATTTCGAGCCCTGATATAAAAAACAATGTTGGTAGGGAGCGCTTTCCTCTTTAATCAGCCTTATGCGGCACGAATCTAAATTAGCTAGTTGAGACCCGATACAAATACCGAACACTGAATGAAAAAGCAAAAAGAAAAAAAAAGATATATTCTAGCTTCATATATCTCATTTGTGTTCGCCGTATACACTGCACTCATTAAATCCACCCGTTATTATTCACTAACCAATTACACTGATATTATAGGTAGTGACCTGTAATAAACTTTTAAACTGTCAACAAAGCTAACGAGTTTTCCTGTCTACAGCAAGAAGCTAATGAAACAACTTAAGGCACGTCTAGTGATACAAAGGAAGAGAAGAAATGCAATCATAAAACAAGTACGATCCGACATTGTTCAACTTCTCCAGATTGGGCACTATGATGTCGCTTTTGCCAGAGTATTATTCTCTCTCACTTCTTCCTTATGTTTAATATTTTTTGTTGTCCTATGTTTGTTGCATATACTAATAGTAGTAGCTAATGAACCCATCACCATTTTCCAATTAGTTACACTGAATAAAAAAAAATTGTTACAGGTTGGACAACTTTATAGAGAAGAGAGCAGGTTATCTGCATACCACCAACTTGACAATTTTTGCGACTGCATCACTACGAACCTCCGTGATATTAACAGACATAGGTAAAACGAATAAATTTTTGTTCTAATTTCTCATTTCCAACAAATCTTTCACTATTGTTTTGTACTGTTCCGAACAATTCAACAACAGATGGCAATAAGGTAGTTAATGTATTTTTCATAAATTAGTAGCTTAAGTTTTTCAAAATTCACACAATTCCCAATCTCCAAATTAAATTGTATGTTTGAGTTGTGTTGCATTTTGACCCGTATTTGGATTTCATTATTTTGATTCATTTTGACCAAATAGTTTGACGAGTCATTTCAAGTTTGACCTGTTTGGTCAAGTCAATATACGAGTCATAATCCAACCTGTTTAAGTTTTGAGGGTTTTGGCTCCATTTCTTAAAAATGGTTTGATTTTGCTACCTCTGAATTCAACTTTAGTAGTGTTAATTATATTCTGCATTTTCTGCAGCAAGTTGCCTGATGAAGTGCAAGAGGCAATGTCCAGTATTATATTTGCAGCCTCGAGATGTGGCGAGTTACCAGAGCTTCATTCCCTCAGGAATCTGTTTAAAGAAATATTTGGTGAAGCATTCGATGGACTCAACGTTGAACTGCTTCCAGGTAACGCAGTTAACTCACAAACCATGCAGTATCTCACTGCCACAAAGCTAAAAGAAGACGTAAAACTCCAAATCATGGATGAAATAGCTAAGGAATCATGTACTATAGCGGAGGATTTCAGCAGCTACAAAACTAGTCCTAGTACTACAGACTCAACTTGGGTTGAAACCCTAAACACTACTAAGATTTATACCTCAAAGAGAATCAGATCAGACCAACGTTGCAAAGCTATGATTGAGAAAAATGAAAACTTTGATTGTAAAAGCTATGAAGCTGAAGAACAATCGCCTCGAGTAAGCCATGTACACCCAAAGCTTCCTGACTACGATAACTTAGTTGCCAGATTCAGAGATCTGAAAGGAGAATATATGTATAAGAATACAATTCACCGATCCTTTTCTAAATGGATTAGGTGGTAGGATTTTTTCGATTGTCCTATGTATATTTCTGTAGTTTATATACCATTGACATGAACAATGGTGCTTCATTTAGTTGTGTTGGGTTTTGTTAATTAAACAATAGAAGTGTGAATGGAAAATAGTGGGAAAAGAAATGCAGGGAAATGAACTTTTGAATTTGTTCATTTTACTTTTGCAAAGGAACTTTGTCCCTCATTGGATAGGAAGAGAAAAAATTCTTGTGCTTATATATGGAAGCACTTCTTCTAGCTCTTAAAGAGTTGAGAAGAGAGCAAGCCTCGCGTCGTCACTCACTCAGCTTTGGCTTTGGACCAAATTTAATTTCCTTTTCCATCATTTATTTTTCTTTTCTAATATTTTTGTGCGAAAAATATAATTTGGAAATTCGCGGAATTATTTTCCAATGGTCGAATTGCAACCAAACATTCCATTCAATAGTAATTCAAATAATTTCTGTGAAATATACACCTTATCAACGAACAGGCATATTTGCACCTGTTTGGACTCAACTTCGTTGGCTATAAATAGAAAGGCTTAGCCTCATTTTTTACTACCGAAATCTGAAAATCTCTCCCCTCTATTTTCTGCATTCTGCATTGTTTTCAAAGCAAAAACGTAGCATTTTGTGTGATTTGCTTCGCCATTTGAGTTCGTCAAAATTCTGTGATTTGAAGTGCCGCTATCACAGAATAGGTATTCCGTTCTATCCTGGGAGGAACTAATTCGAAACCTTGGGCAACTGTGAGGGGATTAAATTCCTTAAGGACATACAAGAAACTTGTGGGCTCGGAATTTTCAATTTTGGTTATCTCAAACTAACGTCTTTTGATTTTCTGATTTTTGAATACAGAATAGTAACAAGTTGATCCCAATTTACTTGAGATCGACTAGATGGACATTAGGGATTTATTTAGTCGAGCCTAATATACTTAAGTTTGAGTCATAGTTGTTGTTAGCTTACTCGAGAAGATGTATACACCATGAATTTATGTTAGTAATCTGTATTCGAAAATATATTCAAAAAAAAAAGCGAAGTAAAACTAGAAATGAAGAAGAAATAGAAAATTAATCCGAGCCCAATAAATTCACGATGTGTCTTTAAGACACTTAATCGCCTTCTAGTACCCGAGGTTTTAGATTATTTCCTCCCAGTATAGAACTGATTACCCTCACTGGTGTAGCGGTACTTCAAACCCCATTGACCAACGAACTCAAAGATCGGTAGCAAATCACACTTACTGCATTTTGTTTCTGTTAAAACAATGCATAAGGAAGAAGGAGAAATCAAAATTTTCGTAAGGAAAATTTATTGGAAAGATCATGTATTTATAGCCAAAAAGTTGGGTAATACCGAACCGAAGAGTTGCAACTCTTCATGTAAAGGTTATAACTCAAATGACTGTTTTATAAAACGACCATTTACGAAATTGCCAAATTTAAATTCTAACGGGAAAATCAAAATGAAATTACACTTACAGAAACGACTAATTTGGATTAAAATAATATCACATTAATCTTAACATTAACAAATAAATTTGGTCCAAAAAATTAATCAATCAAATCATTTGACCGAAGACGAGCGAACGACGATGACATCGCGAGACTTGCCTTCTTTGTAACTCTTAAGAGCTAGAAGAAGTGCAATTATATATATACCCATCAAATCTTTTTTCCTCCTCCAATAGGACAATTTCCATTTGCCGAAGAGGAAAATTCAAAAAATTTATTTTTTCCTCCATTTCTCATTCACGCTATTTTAAGCTATTACAAGCTTAAACCCAAAAATTTACACTCTTAGTTTTTCTTACACAAGTCCATATGCAAGTCTAGGATAAATGATCACGCCCAACTCTAGTCCTAAAAATGATAAGCGATCACTACAAATATAATCCGGTCTAAGAGTCTGGAGTCAAATCCCACAGAGAACTAAGGTTTAGCTACAACTGTTCACTGTCACTAAGAAGACAATCTCGAACAATTCCTAAGCTAGAAATATTAAGATTCTTATGTTTAACTAATTAACTAACAAATTAACGTAATAAATTAATAACTAAATATTAAAAGTTGGAGACAAGATTAAGGAGATTTAGAGTTATGATTTCCCTAATTGTCGGAATCCTTCCCGCTACGTATTCTATAATTTTGCCTAATTATTCTCTACTGATCGTGAGCACTCGACTTATCGTAATTCTCTCTCGAGCAACTATAATAATGTACTAGTCATATTCTCTCGAATTATGCTAGCTCGCACTTTTTTATCCGCTCACTATGATCACGTCAAAGCTTCGTTATCTCTAATCCCGCTTTTAAACCCGCCGTACCGATCTCTCATATACGGTAGGAGTGAGTTTGTTCAACAACCACCTAAATATGCACTCTTTTTCAAGCAATACATAATAGATAGGCACCGTTAACTGAGAGCTCTTCAATTAACTAAAATAAGCACATAGTTGAACAAATAGAAAAATTCAAAGACTCAATTATATCAAAACATATCAAGAATTCATCCTACAAAAGGTTCCATCAAAATCCTAGATAACAAATTAGCTACTCATAAAAGTATGTAAAACTCCAATACTAAAATTCATAACCAATAATGAAAATATGAAGAAGAAAGTAAATAACTCATAAAAGAATTCTCCGCTTTGCTCCTTGTGTGTTCTAGCCTCCTTTGGTCGAATCTCCTCACCTTAGGTCGAATCTCTCCCTTCAGTCGTATTCCCTTTCAAAAGTACGTTTAAGGACTATTTATATGTGATAGGGTTTGCATAAGGCGAAATAATACAAGCCCGCTTCAGAACAACCTTTTTAGGTTAGCTCGTTCACTCACTCGTGCGCACGCGAGAGTGAACGAGCGAAGTTCTTCTCTTTTTCTTTTCCTTCTAGGTCTCTCGTGCACTTCCATGCCTTTTTGCCATAATCCAATGTTTTTTTTCCAAGCTCCCCTCAGCTAGCTCGTTCACTCTCTTGTGTGCACGCCAGAGAAAACAAGCGAAGTTCTTCTTTTGTCTCTTAGTTCCGAATCAACTTCTTTTGCTCACTTTTTATTTCAACTTGCTCCTACACATAAGAATGCACGTAATTAACATAATTCACTACAAAAACTCATGTAATCTCCCACAATCACACAAGTTATGAGATGAAAGTACACCGAAAAATATACATTTTTAGCCGTTTATCAATAAACAATTAAAACTTAAAAGCAGATGATGTTGCCTTTTAAGAGGAACTAATTTGTTAAGATCTAACTTGTAGCTATTCTTCAAACTACTTGATAATGGTCTTATTATAACTCAATAATTGATATATGATGAAATAAGATTTCTTGCGATAGTTTTACTTTTAAACAGCCATTAGGTTCTATTTTTATATATGTTGGATTATATATTTTCAACACCATTCATGCTAAAAAGACACAGTTCCAAGCTTATGATATTTGTAAAATTGATTAAGAAAATAAGTATGACATACCCATTTTAGAATAAAATCTTACTCACAAAAGTTTGTAAGTTTATATTTAACAAATATAATACTTGTAGGTGGTGGGATTGAAATGTATGCTTAAACTGTCACAGTAATTAAACTCAAACCAATTTGTAAGATCTTTATCCTAAGCTGAAAAGAGTGACGTAAGCCAATTTGTAATATCTCTAATTTAAAAATCACCTCTAAAATATACACCTTAAAAATTCGAGATACATTAGTTTCTTATGTTTTTCAAATGTAATTTCATGATAGTGCTGCTTTTACCTCTAAAATATGAGGTAATGCGATAAGGAAATTAAAATTAAAAAAAAAAATTGGGTAAGATCCACCGAAGTGGATAGCCTTAACCGGATGTGTCTAATAAGAGGTAAAGCCCGAAGGCTGTTCCCGTCCCTGTCAGGGGAGATGCCAACCGTCTCTCCTTTCTACGAACACAAGCGATAGGCTGGTAAGCTATGTATATCAACAGACATAACACCAATAAACTGTCGATGTGGGATTGCTGAACTTCAAAAATAGAAAATTGGACGTTTGTCATAGATTAAAAAGAAATTTGCATTTAAGGAATTTTGTTAGTCATGCATTGTCAAAGTAGCGTCTGGAAAGTTACTGCTTCTTTATGGAACTACATTTTGAAGGATTTCTAGGTGTCATGTAGTAGCACTTGAACCAGTCAAAGACAACTTCATAAACAGAATATGAATTCAAACAATAACGTTATACAACAAAAGAGGACTACATGATTGTAGGTTTCACTCATAAAAATTAAACGATTCTTTTCTTTTTCTTTTTCTTTTTCTTCTTTCCTTTAGGCAGAGAATAAGGAGAAAGAGGATCGCAAAAAGATCACAAATAACAGAGTAGGATACAAGTTTTTATTAAATAAAAACCATAACACTCATCACACAATTTCACCTATTCACAGCAACCACCAATGCAGCAATACCTGATGCCTTATTGTTCCTTAAACATGCAGCTTCTGTATATTTCCTATTTCCTATGCTTCCACTCAAGAAGGTGATATGGACGGACGATAAGCTTCTGCAGCCACACAACAAATGCCATGACTTGACCACACGGAAGGATTCAGCTTTTCCGACCAAACAAGAGAAGTTTTCTGAATCCTTTGGTAACTTTAAGAGAGCTTTCATCAGTTATCCATTTTCTTCTCCCGTTATTTGCCTCGAGGTTCATTTCATTATTTGGAGGAGGTGTAGAGACTTCATTAGTTAGGATCTCTTGGCATTCTTTAGGCTCCATATTTATGTTACTGTCCTCATGCATTTTGGAAGCAGAGGAAGTCAGAGGATTGACGGGGGACGGATTACCATTCACTTGAGGACTAACTCCAATAACATCATCAACAGCTGCTGAGCTTTCAACTTCAGATAGTACAAACCTTACCTTGTTAGAGCTTTGTTTCTTTTCATCTTTCAAATGTTCAGCAGAAAGCAAAGGTATATCCTTCTTCTCATTTAATGATATGCTGCGTACCTCCTCCGTGTTCTTAGCATCAACAGCCTCATTACAGAACTGTGGTCTTAGTTCAGATCCGTGTTCATTTGACATTAACATTATGTCATCCTTACCATCTTTTACCTTCTGAGAATCAGATGCAGAATAATCTTTTGCATGAACTTTTGTATCCGAAGGCTTGACCTGATGACTTTTTGAATCTGAAGGCTTGATCTTTCGTGGACCTCTCTTACTCTCATTTCCAGCTGATTTCTGTAATGGAGTGATCACTTTATTCTCCTTTTGACTTGCTTTCCTACTTGGACTAGTTTTTGGCTCAATTGATCGATCCTTAGCTGTCCTTGTAGCTGAAAGGCGATCTATAGTGGAACTCTTACAAACCGGTTTATGTAATCTATTGGTTGCCTCAGTTGGAGCCTCAGGTTTTGGCTTCCCAACTTTTGAAGATGTGGCTGACTCTTTTGCATTTTTCCTTGTAGTTGGTTTGGTAAAACCAGTGGTACCACTTCTTTCTGCAATTCTCTTTTGACGCTGCAATAGTGATTGTTCCAATCTCTTTCTAGTCTCTTCGTCCTGTCAGTAACATAGAGAAATTTAAAGAAAAATAATAATAACAATGATAGATGAAAAGAATAGGAAAACCATCACTTGGAAGAGGGGATTTTAGTATTTCTTTTCCTTCTCCTTTTTAAGATATGATATGTTCATATCAAGCAGCTAAATGTCATGAAATTTCTACCCATACTAGAAATTGAATGTTCATCTTCCTCTCAAACGACACACTTTTTAAAAAAGGTTTCACCATAAACATAACCGATCCAGCAAATTGAGTGAACATGAATTAGACTGAAAAAATAGAGATACAAGGTGGACAAAAGTAGATTTTTATTAGATGTCCATGCACCCCAGTATAGAGACTGTCCATACCTTCTCAGCTCTGCTCTTTTGCAATGTGGTTCTATTACTTGCAGAAGGAGATTTCTTGATTCGTGAAGATATCTCAGATTTGGTCCTTCCAAGAGATCCAACTGAAGCTTTAGATTTTGGTTCTTTGCTTACTCCCTTTCGTCCAAGGTCCTTACCGATCTTTTTGGTTTCTTCACCATTTTGTGGAAGCTTCATATCAGTAGGTTTTACATCAGTGTGAATTTTAAGAGTTTCAGACAAGAAGACATCATTTTCGTAATCTATTTCAGGATTCCAAGAAGCTGAAACTTGCTCAGCAGTTGAAGCCCTTTTAAGCACCATGAAAAGGTCATTTGGTTCACATGTATCAGAAGCAACAAGCTTATCCTCTACTACATGATTAGGCATGTTGTGCTTAACTTGTTCAGCTCCGACAATGTCTGAAACCATTAAAATGTCTGTCTGTTGGTGATAATCAGACGCGATATCAACTGAATGGGATTGAACCATAATGGAGTCATCAAATAGAACACCATTCTTATCTTTCCCCGTCTCCAAAGCATAATCTCCAACAAAGATACTTTGATATGAGATTTCTCCTTGATGTGTTGATTTATTCAGTAGATTACCAGCTAACCAATCCTCCTCTTTGTGGCTCTTAAGGACAACTGATTCAGTGGCACCATTGGACAAGATAGACCGAGGATAGCGATCTGACTCCTGTGTTCTATGTGAAAATAACAACTCTTCTTTTGTGCTTTCTCTTCTATTAACTGGTCGAAGACTTTTTTCTTCCCCAATGTTTTGTTGAGGCACTTTATCTTCATGTCCTAGTTGTCTCTCAGTCGCAATAAGAGAATCGGCTGATGGAGTCCATTGCTTTAATAAACCTTCTGATCTAACATTGGATGCAGGTGCTACATCTTCCACAAAGCTCTTTGACCCCGTGTCATTGGACCTTGAATCTGCATCTTGCATAAGAATGTTCTGGAATATATCCCAATTCTTACCGATGTTTTCTTCTCTGGTAACTTCATCCTTAGTATCCCCCTTAGAAGCCCCATTTGAGATATTGCCGCTTTTGTTTATCTTCTTTCCATCTCGTTTCTTCTTGTTGCGAGACGTTGAGTTGTGGTGCCTCTCCCATGATCCAACTGCTTCTTCTACCTGCTTTCTGAGGGAACCTGCATCCTCATTGGCAGAACTATCATCAGTGTCAGTGCTGCTGTCACTTTGCTCATTTCTATTCGAAGCTATGTAGTTTATGTTGCGGATAACAACTTTTCTTGATGAACTTTTCCCATGCTTCTTGTTCTGAAGGTTGTCGATAGGCAGCTGCCTTTTCTTCTCATCCTCATAGTCATCAGAATCACAGTTAGAGGCTGAATTGTTGCTATCATGTCTATCATCTTCTGTTGAATTATTAGGTCCTCTCCCATTTGAATATTTCTTCTTGTTCTTGGAAGGTGGTCTGTTCTTCCAATTATAATCTGATTCATGAACAGGACCTCGACTAGAATCTTCCGCATTTGCAGGCCATGGCATTCCAGGATAGTAAGTTGGATTAACCTGCATGCCTGAAAACATGTACCCTGGATATGGTGGCAGTTGTTGAAATGCAGGATTTTGAAAATTTTGTATGTAAGGTGATATATTGTTAGGCCATATTGCCTGTGATTTTCCATCTGTAGAGTGCATTTGGATTGGTGGAGGTAAGCCATTTTCTGCAATTCCACATACAAAAGCAGCAGAGTTAGCCATCACACAAGCAAAGAGAGTTCACAAAAATGAATATAAACAGTGTGAAAAGACTCATATTCATGGTAAACATGACTCAGATATGTTATCATGGAAGCTATTTACTACTACAAGTGGAACAAATATGGAAAATATTGTCATATTTACCTAGATTAGTATCTAAACTTCCATGACTTATGGTATCAGATGTCGAAGCATCAATAGAACCATTCTGTTTTCTGCTGGAGATACCGATGTTTTGATTGTTCATCATGATATCTTGAGTAACATCACTATGTTCAGCAGCAAGCATGATTCCAGATCTCCCAAAATATGAAAATTCAGAAGGAGAGTAGGCCTGAAGAGCTGCCACTTCATCCATCCAGATTCCGTCATCTCTCTTTTTGTTACACAGCTCCATAAATTTAATGCATGCTTCCCTAGATACAGGCAGAAGTATATTTCAGTTCTCATCCACTATTGGGAAAAGGTATAGATAGTGTTTTCAAAATTCAATGGCCCACACTAAATTGGAAATAGTATGACATGGTTAGAGAGTACGAGCAAAGAACAGAAGCAAGCTTGCTCAAGCAGTATTTTAGTTCCCAAAGATAAGGTGTTGTCAGAAGAGTGACTAGACAGAGCGAAGAGAACCTAAACAGGAATTAGCCAAAAGTTTTCAGAAAGAAAATAAAAGCAAAGAAATGAGGAGAGGTTTAAATCAGATGGCTATAAACAGAAATACTCTTCTACTACCTTTCAAAGAAAATGTAACCTAACAAAGAGATTTATACGTTGGCAGCAGAACGAATAGTTCCAGTAACTTGTTGGCAGAAACATAAAAAACTCAAACTATATAACCCTGTATATCTACATGTCACTAGTGGCTGCATTCAAGTCCTACCTTAAACGTAGAGCTCCAAAAGCATTGGCAAAAGATATGAGGTCATCCAAGTTATCCATATCAAAGCCAGATACCAAAGCACGGGCGTAGGCCATTGCTTGCTCTCTCCTTAGAACTGCTTTTCTGCTTTCTAGAACACGTTGAAGACTAACCCTATCCATACCAATGCGCACACACTCATATAAGTTGAGTCCCCTCCATTTCTAGTGATGTTGTAATGATATGGCGAGAAACAAGAGCTTACTTGGGATTTTCTTCACCAATACCATCAGATTCACCTTTGGACTTCAGTATCACAACGTCAGTTATTAATGAGTAAGTATGAGATGAAACATAGTTTTATCAAATTGATATACCTTTGGAAAACCAGCAGAGAATTTGGAATCTCCATCAAAAGCTGATGCATTTCCTGAAGATTAAATATAAAGAACCTCAAAAGGATGCATCAATGTGTTTCTTATAAATCCCTGTTCTCACCCTAAAAGAAGAGGCTGAAGCCTGTCTATTGTAATTGCACTGTGACACACATCACATAAACATGAGCAACCATTATTGTCAAAAACTGAACAAACGAACAACCACTATTTATTTCCTCAATTCTATTCTTTTGATTCCTTTTGTTAATAGATGAATTCTAAACTTTGACAAACTAATTCATCATAACTAAGAACAAACGGCTCAAAAGTATCGAATACATCTCTTGCAAGAAGCTCTACATTTGGGATCAGATAAGAAAGGAAGGACGAGAGAGAGAGAGAGAGAAATCTATGTAGACTACAGTAGTTGACCACAACTGAGATCAATTGAAATACACACATTCTCTCTCACACACACTCTCTCCCTCCCGCACTCTCTCTCTCACACACACACACACACGCTCTCTGCGATAAATTAAGTGATATGCATCAGGTGTAGGGACCTAATAGGAATATATTGGTGAACATACCTGCAGCATTGACAATGCCATTAGCTTGTTCATTAGATTGAACTGAGCTCTCAATTTGCGTAATTTCTCTTTCTATAGTTACAAATCGCTCAAGAATCTCAGGAGTACTAACAAATCCCACAAACCTGAGGATGTTAAAAAACATAGTAGCCCAGTAAACATCGCAAAAAGCAGTGACTGAGGACAGGAACAAGAATAGTAGGTAACAGGAGTTGCATGTATTATTAAAAATATAAATATGAAAAGCTAATAGAAGGTAGAGATTAAGTTGTATCCCATACCTTTGTAAAGTGGCTTTGGTGAACCAAGAAGCATTAGTTGGTGAAGGACGAAGAGTAATGGAATAACCCCCTTTAGAAATCTGATCTTTTGCTGATTTGAGATGTGTAATAAAAGGTTCAAATAAACCAGAAGCTAATTTCTCCGAATTGTTACTAGCATAGATTACAAGATCGCATCTTTGAACATTCAATCAAATTTGAAATGTTAGATCCAAACAACAGTTGCCATTAACATAAATAGTGTCAATGAATAGTACTGTAGTAAACAAATACCTGGTTCTTGTTGGGGTGAGCTGAAACAAAGCATAATCCAGACGGGTCTTGGAATCCATATTTGACAGATATAGTTACTAAATCTTGGAAAATACCCACAAAGAAAGGACCACAATTTCACTCTTTTCTCAATGTGAATATAGAGAGAGGGAGATGATGGGTTGATCTGCACAAGTGTGAGACACAGAGGGATTGGGAGGGATTTGTTGATTCAAAAGTGGGGTCTCAATGTTCAATGCCGACAATTCATCCGAATAGAATGAATTTAATATGATGGTAATATCTTATACAGACATACTTAAAATTTTGGTTCCGTCTCTGTGAATCTGAGTAAAAGTAATTTAGTAGTGGTAGAGTGGAATATGGATTGAGTGTGGCAACTGATGCTGGGGCAGGGTGTTGGGTGAAGGGTCGTCTCAAAGTCTGTGTTGTCTTGTAGTTGAAGACAGCAGAAATGGCGGGCTCCTCTTCCTCTGTTTCATGCTCTGCTCTACGCCTCTACTTGTAATTCAATTCTTCTAAATTGCTTTTGCTTTGCTTTACTGTTACTCTCGAGTGTAATAATAGTGCAGGAGAGTATATGCAAAGGATATCATATGATAAAATTCATAAGGGTAAAGTCCCACTATTGCTGGTGTGGTGTTACCGAATTTACCAGACTTTCCCGCTGCCCTGCTCATCATTGTGACGTCTTCCTTCTAAAACTATGGCAAAAAATCTTTTAAGAGAAAGATATTCAATTTTATGCATTAACTAGAGAATTTGTCCGTGCTTCACGCAGTTATAATAAATATCATACAATATAAAATAAATATGTCTTAGTTTAGTTATTATATATTAAATACATGAATGTATTATATGCATTTGATTTGTTCTTTTCACTAAACTAGTATTAGTACCCGCGCGATGCGCGGATACAAACATGTGATTTGAGTTATTTGATTTATGTATAAATAATTTTAAAATATTAATCTTTCAGATTAAAGTTATATATAATCATTAAAAATATGTTAATAAAAAAGCAGAAATTTCTCAAATCTCTTAAAGTTACCCATAGTTTCTTGTCCATATTGCATTACCCATAACTTAAATTAATATATTCTTGTCTGTTACTTCCATTATAATACATTATAAGTAAAAATATGTTTTTTTTCTTGTAGTAAAATTTTTTATTTACTTTTATTCTTTTATTCTATTGTTCCTATTAATGTATAAATTTATCATATTTTCTATAATACCTATATTATTATCTTTATAATTAATTAAGACAAAGGTGTTGTTTTTATCTTTTAATTTATTTGTTTTTTTTAAAATTTTATTAATTAAGATAAGACAGACAATATCTTCACAAAAATATTCACTTTCTTTTCATTAAGATTCAAAAAAAAAAATTAAATTCAAATTAAGTATTAGTATTAATATTATCCTAAATTGCCAAGTAGTTTTATAGTAGTTTGTCACTTAGCTTAACCACAATGCAAAGTTTATTCGTTATTCTTTAATATACTTTCTCTTCTCAAAAATTAAATAAGTCTTATCCTTCCAAATATTTCTACATTGAAATTATTTATTTATATTTTTTTCTCTTTTTCTTTTAATTTGTGTAATTCTATTGTTCATATTAATGTTTAAATTTATCGTATTTTTTATAATACCTATATCTTTATCTTTATAATTAATTAAGATAGAGGCGCTGTTTTTATCTTTCAATGTAATTTTTTTTAAATCTTATTAATTAAGATACGACATTCTGATTTGAAAAAAAATATTTTATTTTAAATTAAGTATTAGTAATAAAATTATGCTAAATTGCCTAGTGGCTTTATAATAGTTTGTCACTTGGCTTAATCACAATGAATTTGGTTTTATAAATTTTTTCGATTTT